TTTTACGGTACACGTGTAGCTGTCTATCTGATCAGGGATTCCGCTAGGCAGTGATGACATTTCAGAGGCGGCGTTACTCTGAATGACCCGGGCTCTAATTTACTGACGTAATTAAGCTTCGCTCCGTCTTCGAATCCCAGAGCTCGTCTGAACTGCTAATTGGCACGAATTAGCTGTGAACAGAGGGAGTGTTTCTATCCATTCCCCACTCTTTTCACTCCTTTTTTTAACATCCCCGCTCTCGTCTAACTCACATTTCAGGACCCGGAGAGGGCCCACTTGAATTGGCTTCACAGTCTAATGGTCTGCCAGGTTCCTGACATCGGCAGTGAATATTAGTACAGACTTTTTAATCAAGAGACTCTCAGGCTGCCGCCCATTGCTAAAAGTACATGTACCAAAACATCTGGCCTGCCAGCTGCGCTTGTATGCGCCGCTCATAATGAAATGTCTGATTTTCTGATCCATTAGTCCAAATCTATACACATTTAGAAGCTCATGCGTCCTGCATATTGTTCGACACGCTCTTCAAACACCAACAGGGATGCGGTTTACTCTGACATTGGCCAATCGCCTAGGTTTGGAAACACAATAATTGACTTCAAATAATGTGTAGCTGGCAATAAAATATACATTTATAATAACAATAATTGACTTCAAATGATGTGTAGCTGACAATAAAATATACATTTATAATAATAAGAATAAGAAGAAGAAGAAGAAGAAGAAGAAGAAGACGAAGATCATTATGGTTAATTTTTGGAAAATTACAGCGGTTTTTTTTGCTGAATTATTGAGTATATTTATTTTAGTTTTTTTTTGTTTTGTTTTTGTTTTCAAAATTTTAATGTTAAATCTACTATTTAAATAGTGTTTACTTAAATAGAAAAAAATACTTAAATCGTATTTACTATAAAAACTCCATTTTGTCTATATACACATTTTTTAAATAAAAATATATATTAGTTACAAATTCAACATTTTTATTTAAAACTGTATTTATTTTGATCATTTTGAAAATATCTGAAATTCTTCATTTGTTTTATTTTTAGATTATTATTTAAATATTTTTATTTATATATTTTGTAAAAAGAATATTTAAAAAAAAACCTAAATGAGCTTCTAAGACATATTTTGTAAATATTCTATAAAAATATACGCTAGAGTTATATTACCGTTACAAAATTAAATTCATTAATTAATATATGGGCTGTCAAATCGCGATTAACCGCACCCAAAATAAAAGTTTGTTTACATAATACAGTATATGTGTGTGTACTGTGTATATTTATATGTATGTATATATAAATACACACACATACATGTATACAGTGGGTACGGAAAGTATTCAGACCCCCTTAAATTTTTCACTCTTTGTTATATTGCAGCCATTTGCTAAAATCATTTAAGTTAATTTTTTTTCCTCATTAAGGACCTCAGACTGGAACTAAGGTTTACCTTCCAACAAGACAATGACCCTAAGCACACAGCTAAAATAACGAAGGAGTGGCTTCACAACAACTCTGTGACTGTTCTTGAATGGCCCAGCCAGAGCCCTGACTTAAACCCAATTGAGCATCTCTGGAGAGACCTAAAAATGGCTGTCCACCAACGTTTACCATCCAACCTGACAGAACTGGAGTGGATCTGCAAGAGGGAATGGCAGAGGATCCCCAAATCCATGTGTGAAAAACTTGTTGCATCTTTCCCAAAGACTCATGGCTGTATTAGATCAAGAGGGTGCTTCTACTAAATACTGAGCATTTTTCAGTTTTTCTTTTTTAATAAATTTGCAAAAATGTCAACAATTCTGTGTTTTTCTGTCAATATGGGGTGCTGTACATACATTAATGAGGAAAAAAAATTAACTTAAATGATTTTAGCAAATGGCTGCAATATAACAAAGAGTGAAAAATTTAAGGGGGTCTGAATACTTTCCGTACCCACTGTATATTTAAGAAATATGTATAATATATTTATATTTATATATAATATAAATTGTATTTAAATACATACATGCATATAAATATTTCTTAAATATATACATGTGTGTTTATTTATATATACATATAAATATACACAATACACAAGCACATATTATGTACACACAAACTTTTATTTAGGATGCGATTAATCACGATTAATCGATTTGACAGCCCTAACTCACACACACACACACACACAGGTTTGTTTTTGTGAAAAGTGGGGACATCCCATAGGCGTAATGGTTTTTCTACTGTACAGACCGTATATTCTATTGCCCTACACCAACCCTACCCCTAAACCTACCCCTCACAGGAAACTTTCTGCTATTTCAGATTTTCAATACACTCCATTCTGTGTGATTTATATGCGTTTTGAAAAGTGGGGACATGGGGTAATGTCCTGAAAAGTCACCTTCTCCTTGTAATACCTATGTCATACCCTTGTCATTATACAAATTTATGTCCTCATTTGTCACAAAAATGTGCGCACACACACACACAATTATCAGATCAGGTATATATGAATAAAGCATGGAAACATAGTTACAGTTTCTATTTGGTTGCTGAAGTATTGAATATATACCCATGCAAAAACAAACATTTCTCTAGAAATACATCCGTTTGTTATTCTTTTGAGAAACGAAGGATGCTCCATGCAATACTGTCTTGAAAGAAGAAAGCAAACTGCATCTAAGCAGCACAGGGAGAGACATGGACGTCCCAGATGCACAACAACAAGACTAGCAGTACATCAGAGCCTCTAGTCTGAGAAACAGACCCCTGACTGGCGCTTGGCTGGCAGCTTCATTGAAGAGTACAAACTAAACATCAACAGTCAAGACAAGACTCCCAACTTTTAGGCAGAATGTCAGAGAAGATCTACTGACACATAGAACAAAACAGTAGATTGAGCTAAATAACAGAAATTGGATTGCAAACAATTACTACGGATGGATAAATCCAAATCTGAGGTCTTGTTAGTCAATCCTAAAGAAAGAATAGGGCTGTTCTCACCTTATGTCCACCTGTTAGCTGGCACAGATCCTGTCTCTGTTTTATTTAAGCTACAAGTCCCATTTTGACAGGGAATAAGGACTTAAACTTAATAAAACGTCTCCCTCAAGAGCTGACATTCTCATATCAGACCTTATTCCTCAACCATTAGCACTTTCCAAAAACATTTTTCTTACTTGCAGAACCTTTAAAGGTGCAGTCCATGGTCAAGAGTAATCGGCACCCTGTCCTTTATTAAAGGGCTGCCAGACCTCCCAGAGCGTTTGCAAATGTCACTGCGTTAGAATCACTCTACTTTGACTAAATACCATCTGCCAGTATCAGTATGTTACCAAGTCTGGCTGTGTATAACACTACTGGTTGCTAAGCTAGCTGAGTACCAAGCCAAGTCCCTTAAAGGAACAGTTCACCCAAAAAATGAAAATTTGCTGAAAACTTACTCACCCTCAAGCCATCCAAGATGAGAGTTTGTTTCTTCATTGAAACAGATTTGGAGAAATTTAGCATTACTTCACTTGCTCACCAATGGATCCTCTGCAGTGAATGGGTGCCGTCAGAATGAGAGTCCAAAACAGCTGATAAAAACATCACAATAACCCACATAACTTGTTTTGGACTGTTTTCGCTTGTAAATGGTCTGCTGATTCAGAGAAGATGACATTTCACTGGAGAAAGCAATATTACAAGATGCTTCACAAGACATTATTTGATGGACTGGAGTCATGGATTATTTGTGGATTATTGTGATGTTTTATCAGCTGTTTGGACTCTCATTCTGACGGCACCCATTCACTGCTGAGGACTGCATATATGTTCCCTCTGCTTCTTATACTGTATTATTTACCAAACCAAGCAAAAAGTCTGCATTGAAGTATACGTAGACTTAAAAATGAAAAAGCAGAAACGTTTGAAAGTTTATTCTCAGCATAGCTAATACGCAGGTATCTAGGCTACGATTGGAAAACAGCATGTGGCTAAATAAGCAGGTTAATGAATAATTATTAAACTTCTAGATGGGGGAGAGGATGAGTAGATAATGAATACCTGGGGAAACGAGGGATGGTCCCTCAGCATCATTAGAGAAGAGGAAGACTGTGGGAAGGCCAGATGGAGAATACCAAGGGACGAAAAGAAGGTCAGATTTAAGCTAGGTTTGAAACAGTGCGCTTGCAGCTAATCAGCTTAAAAATACACTGCGGTATGTTTCAGCCGTATTAAAAAGTTAGATTGTATAAAAATGAATGAAAAAGTGTTTGACCATACCGTATGTCTCGATATGTTGCTGCTTATAATACTCTTCTTCATCTTTTGATGCCATGATTTATAGAAAATATATACTACCATTCAAAAGTTTGGGGTCAGTGAGATTTTTTGAATGAAATTAATACTTCAGTCAGCAAGGACACATTAAATTGATCAGAAGTGGCAGTAAAGACATTTATACTGTTACAAAAGATTTCTATTTAAAATAAATACTTCTGTTCTATTCATCAAAGAATCTAGAAAAAAAATTATGTGAATTATGTGACACTGAAGACTGGAGTAATGGCTGCAAAAAATTCAGATTTTCCACCATAAGAATAAATTACATTTTGAAATATATTCAAATAAAAAAAGTTATTTGAAACTGTAAAAAATATTTTATAATATTAGTGTTTTTTTTACTGAATGGTAGAGTACACAAATATAAATTTTTAAATAAAATTCCAATTACCACCTTCTTTCTGTCTTTACATTAATTGCATGCAAACAGCATTATATTTTGTGAATTATGAGCTCAACACACATTCGAAAATGTGTAGTTGTGGTGAAAAGTATGACAGTGACTTTAACAAATGGCATAGTGAGAATTTATCATGTGGTTAGCAACTGTTTTTTGGTAGCCAGGTTAGTGAATAAGTGCAATAATTGTGCCAAAATGCTGCATGCAAAAGTGTTGGAACCCTATAGTGCCATTTATCAAAACTATAGAGAAGTAAAATTAATCATTAACTGGCTAACCTTGTAGATGCCTTGATTGCAGCCATTGTAAGTGCTTTCCATGGTGTAGCTTCGGAGGACTCCGATCTCCCTCCAAACAACAACCCGCGCTGTGGACGCCCGAGACTTTTCCACCAGATAGTTGCAGTTGTTGAAGGAGAATGCAGGAGCTATACGGTCCAGAGCTTTAGCGATGGTCTGTCAATACAAACAATATATGAGCTTTGAAAAAGAACCATGTATTTCATTGTATTTGCATTTTATGCCAGTGTTTTCAGTTCTAGTTTTATGTATATTTAGTTTAAGAGACTTCTTTGCATAGATGGCAGACATCAGTCAGACAGCAGCTAGCGACGCAATATTTTCCACATTACAGATTCCACAGATTTACATATGCCTTTAAACTATCCTTTAACACAATTCGTCACAGCCTGTATGTTGGGGAGAAACTTCCTTCGGCACTAAACTTCAAAAACTGGCTCAGAAATAAAAGTTTAATGGAGGATGGAAACAACCGTGCCAATCAGAAAACAATAAATCAGAAAAAAAAGTATTTTCACTGTATATATAATGATACTGTAAAATAAGGACACTAAAACACATCATGCATTTTTGGCTCTTCCTGTGAGAGCAAAAATAGATGATGGGGACACAGCAGAAGCTGTAAAACAGATTGTATTGCTGTAAGGTTGCTCTTTCATAGCTCAGGAGATGTAATTGAGTTCTCAGTTGTGTGACTTTGACGAATCAACTTTGTTTCAAATGTTTCTCCTAAAATAGGAGCAACACAAATAGAAACAAGTGACAATGAATGTACAGTAATAATATAGAGCTGTAAAATTAATGTGGGTAACACACTACCATTGAAAAAATTTGGAACAGATCATCCAGGAGAAACATTTGAGATATGAAAGAGAACTCATTTGTGATTTTCTTTGTTATAGGCAGTAAGCGTACCCTGTATCCCGGGTCTTCTTTCAGGGTGGCTGTGTTAATGGGAGATCCAGATTGCCACAGTGTTTCCTTCATACTGCAGCCATACAGAAACACATTCTTCTTCCTGGAGTGACCATGGTAATCGCAAAACACCTGTGGAATGTAATTTTAATTTGGAATGTAAAACAGCAGTTTTTCAAAAAATATATAGCGAAACTTCAAGATGGTACGCGAATAATGGCCAAGGACGAGGACAGCAATGCAGCGTTAACTTTAGACTGAGCCAAACATAATTAATCTTGTGACACAACAGACAGACACGTACAACAAGGGGAATAAAATGCATGACAATGCATTGCGTTTTGACTCTAATTCAAATTTTGTCTCTTGACAGTGTGACTGTTAATTGGAGACAGTGCATAGCGATGAGCCTTTTTGTAAAGGCTCAACAAGAGGGTTTCTTCCTCATTCATTGCATTTTTTCCACTGTAGGTTTTGGGGATATGACAATGTTCCTTTGACCAGGTTCGGTGCATAATTATTACTGTGATTAAACATGAATTATGGCGTAATTGATATGTAAATCTGGCTAATTGTGTCAAAGCACTCCTGCTAGCACTAATGTTTTTTGGTTCTTTGCAACAGGTCATTCCTGCTTGATTACAGGACCAACAATGGTCATTTCCACACTTTTCGGAATAAAATGAATTCATTTAATTGCATAATTTATTTTAAGGTAGTACAGATGTAGCTTTCGAACGGGTAGCTTCAGTTTAGGTCATGACGTCCTAGATTGTTTGACCATTTTTACAAGCATATTCTCTCAAATGTGCTGGCGAACCTACTTTTGTTGCTTTGTTTTTTTTTCCCCACTGACTTGTATAGATAGAGCAGTGGTCCATTACTCCATTTCACGAGAAGTGTCTTTTGAAAAAGGACAGAGGGTGGATAGGGACGAGGTAAAAGATAGAAGTTATTCTTTAGTGCTCTAACAGCAACAGGAGAAGCTCAAAGGCACCAGTCCAGACTCTATGAATAGATATGACTAAAAATAAAAAAGCTCTTAGTTCTGTTTGAAGACATGAACTAGAGGTTCATCCATGACTCTTTCTGCAGGTTACAAATATGCCAGTAGGTCGCAGCAGTGTTTGCCTTTATTGGTGAGACATCAAATCATTTATTCAGCTAAATCATTCAAAACCTCCACGTTATTCAGAAAAGAAACAAGTGACTGTCTTTATGAGTGTATCATTGGATAATTTACTCAACTGATTCATTCAAAATGCAGATTTGTTTCAGGGACAAAACAAGTGACTCTTTATGAATGAGTCATTGAATCTTTTACCCAGGTGATTAATTCAAAAACACTTAATTCTGGAACAAAACAAGTGAGTATTTTAACGAACGAGTCACTAAATCATTTACACAATTGATTTGTTCAACTTTAAAATGCTGATTCATTCACAAACGAAACTAATCCATGCATCCCAATTTGCATACTATCCATGCCAAATAGTTTCTAGATTATTAATCTTGAATATTAGGGCAGATAGTATGTGAATTGGGATGCTGGGACTGCCTTTATGAGTGAGTGAGTCATTTATTTGTTTACTCAACCCAGTTTCATCAGGATTCATTCAAAACCTCTGATTCACTTGATCAAAACAAGTGAATGTCTTATATGTGTGAGTCATTGAATCCTTTCGTCAAGTCAAGTCATCATTATTTATATAGCACTTTTTACAATGCAGATTGTGTCCGAGCAGATTTACAGTATTAAACAGGGAAATAGTGTGTGAAATAGTGTACGGTACACTCCTCTAGACAGACAAAACCAGCTGTTTAATTCTAGGCTGAACTGATTTGTTCAAATTAATTTAATTTGTTAATTTATGCCGTTCAAGGAATATAGAACTGTACCCATCCATTGTCTTATATATACTGTATAAATAAATGTATTAACTACAAAAATATGAAATCAATCACAAATTATTGGCGTTGTATTATTAAATGATTTGATATCCCTAGTTTCATTTCATCAGTCAGCTGAGGCAAATTATTAATTTAGTAAATTAAAACTTTGTAATGATTTCATTATTTTTGTAATATGGTTCATTTAATCCAGTTCACAATAGGGGTAATTTCAAATTGCAGTTGTTTTCTGATAAACAACGAAGCACTTAGATCCTCCCAGGCCTGCTTCAGTCTGTATGGTCTAATATCCAGATCGGTGGCTCCTAAAACACATTTATGGATTTGGTCATCCCTGACCTGCATTTGGAAGCGGAAAGCTCCGAGATCATGGAGCAATTTCCGGCGAGCCCCTCGTGGAACTTTAGGATTCAATAGGTCAGTTACAGTGCAGCGAGATTTAATGGAAACTTACCAGCGGAGTCCTGCCTATGCTGTTGAGGTAATAGAGGAAGCCTTTGGTGTGGTAAATTGTGGGGCTTAAATTAGGGTCCGGCTTCAGCCACTGTCTGTTGAGGTCCTCAGCGGTGAGAGAACAGCGATTACTGAAATAAATCAAAAGAAAAAAAGAGATTACAAAGAACAGAAAGTCAACTTTAAACTAAATAAAAGTCCAGTTTGGATTTCATGAGCTCTTTAACTCATTTCAAAGGGATCAAAGTAACAAACCATCTGAGTTTGCGATCCAATATCTGATTCAGCTTACCTATCTGTTTGAAGACAAGATAACCAATCTGTCTGTCTCTGTGCATGCCTGTGTATCTGTGTGAATGTTAAAAACGCCAGAATTGTGACGTTCCCATATCAGCGTCTACCTTTACAGGTTACTGAAAGGTCGGCGATGAACAGAGCTATCTAGCGTACCGCGCAACCAGTCTGTTGATTAGAGAGCGAGCAGCAGCTGAGCTTTATCTCCTGAAAAAATCCTACTGGCATTTGGAGGCAGCTTGTCAACTACAGACTCCCCCACATTCAGTTCCTGAAAGCCAATTATAAGACACAATGTTCAAACATTAGCAAATTGATAGGCCGCGTTTGAAACGGCTGAGCGCGACTGTTGAGTCTCTGATCACAGGTGCTCCATCTGATGATACTGTATATTGTGTGCTTTCTTTGGGTCATTCTTGATCTGGATTGAGCAGAAGCATGAAGCAAAACACAGTCACCACCTGAAAATAAATATATGATAAAACATCCTGGCTTTTTAACAAATGCTATGGCTGTTTTCATAGACATCGATAATGGCTTCGCGAAAACACAGAGATGGAAGTTGCAATCTTCTTTGCCTCTGAACAGTTTGTTCAACCAGACTTTTTTTTTCTGAGGATATCACCGATTGAACTAAGATGCCTTTAGATGCATTAAAAATTTACGGAAACCACAAACAGAACTGCATGACTATAAATACAACCCACTTTTTAAAGTCTCTGAGAAAAGCTGCGGTTCTCTGCTGAAGAAGTTCGAGCAAAGAGCCACCATTTTCAGAGAGTTTCATCATAAACAAAAATGCCATATTCTAAGGGTCTGAAGACAAGGAAATTACTGTATTTGAGGCGACAAAACACGGTTGTTCTGGACAGTTTCCAATGCACCCCAGGGGGGCAGCAAAGCGGAAACGGCAAGAAAATTGTTCTTCCCTATAGCTGTCTATAGTTTAAAGTGAACCTACGTCAGGAAAATAAGAGAAAACCAGAAACACTGGATGTCAGTTAAGATGACTTGAGAGTTAGATCAACATTACCCGTCTGTCTGTTTAAGCCATGTTTACACTAGGCGATTTCTGACTTGGATTTCCAACTCATTGGTGTCATTATGTATTCATTGCCTGATATTTAGATCGTAAATATTTGATGAACCAAGCTGAAGCTTTTGCTATGAAAGGCATCAAAGACTTCATGTTTTTTCTTCTCTTTTTGGGGGCTCCATTTTGTTCTTGACAGAAATCATTTATGAACACTTCCCTGCTCTTGTGTCTGATGACAACTGAGAGGTGGAACAGTATTTTGTCCCCTTTTATTGGTTCTCCAAAAACTGGCAGCCGCTCTAACACGTCCTGCTTTTAAAATGTCTACTTCTCAATATTTCACCCAGTGCACCACAGCGCATGACACATTCTGCAGTAGCCCAAAGCAACCCTGGCCTCAAAGGCCAAAAATAATTCAAACAATAGTTCAGGTTTAATGTTTAAGAGAGGTAATAAAATAAATTTCATCATCAAATACCAATTAACACATGAACAGAATAGCATTTGACTCCATCAAACTTAAAAAACAGAACACTCAAATGATAATTGGGACTCTCAAAATAGAACAACTAATGGGAACTTGACTCCACCCACTTCAAAACAGAAAGCTCAATGGGCATTTGTCTCCACCCAACTCAAAAGAATTGTCTAATGAGAAATTGCCTCCACCCAACCTCAAAAACTGAACACTCCTTGATTACTTTGACTCCACCCACTTCAAAACAGAAAGATCATTGGGAATTTGACTCCACCCACATCAAAAACAATGTGTAATTGGAATTTGACTTCTCTCAACCTCAAAAACTAACACTTAATAATTTTGACTCCACCCACTTCAAGCTCACTGAGCATTACAATCCACCCACTTTGAAAACAATATCTAATGGGAATTTGACTCCACCCAAACTCAAAAATAGAACACTCAATGAGGTATCATTGAGTTCAATGGGTATTTGACTCAACCCACCTCAAAATACAGAATGTCTAATGGGCATTTTACTCCAACCAACCTCAAAAACCAAACACTCATTGGTAAGTTTGACTCCACCTACCTCAAAAACAGAAAGTCTAATGGGAATTTCACTCCACCCAACCACAAAAAAAACAAACACTCAATGAAAATTACAGAAAGATCATTGGGAATTTGACTCCACCCACATCAAAAACAATGTGTAATTGGAATTTGACTTCTCTCAACCTCAAAAACTAACACTTAATAATTTTGACTCCACCCACTTCAAGCTCACTGAGCATTACAATCCACCCACTTTGAAAACAATATCTAATGGGAATTTCACTCCACCCAACCACAAAAAAAACGAACACTCAATGAAAATTCTGACTCCACCAACTTCAAAACAGAATGCTAATTGGGCATTTGTCTCCATCTACCTCAAAAACAGAACACTCAATGATAATTCTGACTCCAGCCACCTCAAAACAGAATGCTAATTGGGCATTTGTCTCCACCTACCACAAAAACCGAACACTCATTGGTAATTTTGACTCCACCCACCTTAAACAGAATGTCTAATGGGCATTTGAGTCCACCCAACCTCAAAAACAGAATACAGAATAATTCTCACTCCACCTACCTCAAAAACAGAAAGTCAAATGGGAATTTCACTCAACCCAACCTCAAAAACCGAACACTCAATGGTTTTTACTTCACCATCCTCAAAATAGAATGCTCATTGGGCATTTGTCTCCACCCAGTTTAAAAATAGAACACTCAATGATAATTCTGACTCCACCCAACTCTAATCTGAATGCTCATTGGGTATTTGACTCCACCCACCTCAAAAAACACGATGTTCAATTATCATTTGGACTCCTCCAAGTGAAAACAATCCTGGTCTACAAGGTTTAGGATTAAAATCTAAATAAAAAACAGGTCGATAACCAAGACAATGTGTGAAGTGCTGCACCCAACCTGACTCAATAACTCAAATTCTGACTCAATAATGATTTTGACTCCACCCACCTCAAAAAAGCAAAAGCAATCTTGGTCTCCAAGGAGCTCATCAAATACCAATTAACTCATGTAAAGTATAGGCATTTTACTCCAACTCAAAAAGCAAAATACCTAATGGTAATTTGACTTCGACATTTAACTCCGCCCACCTCAAAAACAGAATCCCCAATTACCATTTAGACTTCGCCTACTTTAAAGACTCAATGAATACTTGACTCAGCCCCACCTCACAAATTAAATACCCATGGGCCATTTGATTCCGCCAACATCAAAAACATCCAATCAAATGCCTCCTGACTCATTGTCAAAAGCAAACACATCACGCTCCAGCATGCAAATGCTAACTGCTCTGAAAACATTTATTTCACAGCGGGCGAGAGCTAGTTAAGGCTTTAATTAAGAATACTGTTGTTCAAGTGTATACGGATTATAATACAATCATCATTTATACAGTTTATGATCCAAAAACTTATAATGAAGCCATTAACGCAAGTCACTCCCCCTTTATAATCACCCGCTGAAAAATAGAAAACATTTGATGCTCACTGAGACACGAAATGACAGAACAGTGGGAGTTTTTGGAAAGAAAACTGTGTCTTGTACATTTGTTCACATTAACTATTTATAAGGAGATGAAATGGCTGACAATGAGAGGAATCGACGCAAGTATCACCTCAGAGAGGAAGTGCTGTCACTGTAGTGCTCTGTTGACCAGACACATCGCTTCATCCAGAGATGAGTTACAGTTCACGCTCAGTTCAGCTACAACACAGATAAATAAGAGAAGGGGGGGGGTTATCAAGGCCCCATCTCTCTTTTCCAGTCACATCCGTCCTATCCCAATCTATTTTATGGGTCTTCAGTGTAACTGCTAAGCATTAAGCAGTGTGATATAGATCTTGTATAATTTGCTTATGATTGATTTGGTCACCATTAGGAAAGGGCACAAAAACGATTGCCTGTGCCACCTGATGCAACAATAATCACAGAAATCGATAAGCAATCCTGGAGTTACTTCAGTTGTATTATTCTTGGTGTGCAGCACTTCTCATCCAATAAGCTGTGATGTGATATAACATGTGATGTAAAAATGTGCATGTGTGTGTGTGTGTGTGTGTGTGTGTGTGTGT